TGAAAACTGGAGCCCCCTCTTCTGGCCAGTGTCTCACCTATTGTTACCTGTTTAGAGGCTCTCCCCCACCATCCATCAGGCCCCATGTCCCTCCCAGACCACAGAGTCCTTCCCTCAGGGTACAGCTCCGTGGTAGTGCCCCCACACTCTGGGGTCCTCCCCCTCAGGGAACCTCTAACCCCTAATACCCACCTTGCCTCAGTTACCCTACTGCCAGTTGTCATCTAGCCTCTTACCTCAGAGGCAAACTGCAGTCTGACATGGCCACTCATCATAGGCAAAGGGCGGAGGAGAGGGGGAGGAGGAGGGAACCTTCTGCTTTTGCCTGTCCTGGCTGCCTCTCTGCAGCCCTAGTGCCTCTTAGGCCTCTGTTGCTGTGCCTCAGCCTGGGACTACTCAGACTGGAACTCACCCTGCCTTTCCCTAGCACTGCTCTGCCTGTGGTACCTCAGCTAGCAGGCAGCTAGATCCTTCTCCCTCCAGAGCTGGAGTGAGAATATGCTCATTCTGCTCCTCCAGCTCTTTTATAAAGCTCTCTTAATCTCTGATTGGCTGCCGGAAGGCCTCTCATGATTGGCCCCTAGCTACAGCCCTCTTCCAGGGCTGTTTTAACCCTTTTTATGCCTGGAGCAGGGTGACCACCAAGCTACACAAGGCAATGGAAAATCAGACTCTTGTCTCCCCAACCCATATCCTGGGATGATACCACCCTTCTTTTGACGGTCACTGCCCATCTCCTAGGAATGGGACATTAGCCATTTCTCCCCCCCCCTTTTTTTAAACTCTAGTTAAGAAAGGGGCTGTGAAGCAGGACGACGTGTGCATTGTTGATGCCCTGCTAGCTGACATACGGAAAGGTTTCCAGTTGAGGAAAACGGCTAAGAACAAGACTGATCAGGATACTGCTCCTAAAGCCTCACCTGCTGAAACGCCAAAGGAGAGAGAGCCTGGTAAGAGCTAAGACCCAACCACATCTGCAACCATTAACCTCCAGCCTGCTGCAAATACTGTAGCAAAACACACAGACATATGGGAATGTCCCTGCTTTGAATGTTGGCATTTGGTTAATAGACAGGGGGAGGGGCATTTTCAGAAAGGTGACTAAGTCCCATTTTCCAAGGGACTTGGGCGGTTTGGGAAATGTTACCCAAGAGATGCTTATTTTCTAAATTTGCAGCTTGAGCTTCCTTTCTGCTTTTGAGGCAATAGCCTCCAACCCCCAGAATGCAAACCGACCAATAATCTTGTTGCAGGGCATCACTCCAACAAGAGAGAGCCTGCCACAAGAGAGTACTTGCAAACTGCAGCCTTCCTACAAGCCCCTGAAAAAACTTAGTCCTTGGGTGGGATGAGCCCAGATGGGGGGCAGTTCTGAAGGCCTGTCTCAGGCGGGCTATTTACTGCCACAGGGCTTAGACAGCAGGATCAGGCCCATGACACCACCTGGGAGTTCTTTGACCCTCAGCTAAGTTCTTATTCATCAAGTTTAAGTTTCCTTGATTTCAGTGGGAATGAAACTGATTAACTTCAATGGGATTTAAGCACACACTCAACATTAAGTAGGTGCTGAAGTGCTTTGCTGTGTTGGGGCCGTGGGTCTGAACCAAATGCCCCCTTGTGATGGTACAGGTCACTCAGCACTGGGAGTGGCTAGTTTTGGATTAGATGTAAAAAGCTCCTGGTTCACAGATGGCTGTTATAAGTTCACTGGTCCCTTTCCTCCCAGCCTTTTGCCTGGGGCACACTGCAGGTTGTCGAATGACATTCCTTCTTGGTTGAGGGTCACATCTGTACTAACCAACTGTGCCTGCTGC